CATCTAATTATTTCTATGGAAGCTTTAAAAAAAATAAAACTCTTAACATTATGGTGGACGCTTATAAGACTGAAGTTACCGGTGCAATATCAAGATACGTCCATATATTTACAATTTTTCAGGAGTCATAAAAAACATTTTTTTTTTTTATATATACATTAGAAACATTTTAAAAATGTTGATGTATTATGATATTGGCTTATACATTCTCTATTTCACATAATTACATAATTGTCAAATTTTAATTTTAAAATAAACACAATAATATTACCATAATTTTTAAATATTGGTTTTTTTTAGATGCAACAACAGAATACGTTCAAAACGTATCTGGTTATTGCACCGAATATGTTATAGGTAACAGATAAATGAATAAAACATATTGGAGAAATATAGGTTCATAACATATTTTAAATCAATTAATTTCTCTTAATTATTTATATTATTACTCCTTTTCTTAAATTACAAATAATGTGCTTAGTAAGTAAGAACTTAAATTTATAAAATATAAATAAAAATAGTAGAAAGTTTTATTAATTTGTTTGATTTATTGTGTTAAGAAATAAATATGATAAAATGATTAACGATATAAGTGTGTCCACAATTTTGCCAATTGTATAATAATTAACTGGCTATTAAACCAAACATCGTGCAAACCAATATTATTGGTCTTATTATCAAATCCATTACATATTTTACAGTTAATGCACCTGAAAAAAGTGATAAATAGCATAGGTTGATTCGGTGCAAGAACGTATCAAAAACGTATCCGTACGTAACTGGTTCTTGCAAAGGGAAATTTTTTCTCTTTACATATGTATATTTGTGTCTTGTGAGATACGTCCTGATGTATTTGGTTATTACACCGAACAGAATGAATAAAAGGTTTTTGGTGTATATTTGGCAATACATTTATTGGACATATCTAGATACTGCACCAATTGATAGGGAATTTTGTCCCCAGTATTTTGATGTTAATACAGACGTATCTCATCATTGCACCGGTACCTTCATACTATAAACTATAAAGTAACTATTTTATTTACTAGTAGATTAGTAGATATATACAATATTAAATTAAAATTCCTAAAATGAATACCTAATATTTTATACAAATAAATATAAATATTATAAATGTATTATACCCGACAGCATATTATATAGTCCAGTCGTCCAGGTGAATTATTGTAGTTACTAATAGATCAGCCCACCATCTTACGATATCCCAGTTGACCAGTCCTGGTAGTATAATATGTGTGGTAACTGGTAAGTAGGTACTTATAACAACGTTTGTATAACAATTGAAAAACCATTTTGAACACACGGCCGCTGCGTGTATTTCATGCGTCGCACAGATAAACGTGTTTTAAAGAAAGTGCGTATTTTTAGTAGCATTTCTAACGATTTTTTTCACAAAACTATGCAATTTAATAAACTCTTATACAGTTATACCCACCCACCACGTATTTTCAGCTCTGAATATTAATAGTTCGAAACCAATCTACTCAAAGAAGTCGTATATTATAATACTATACGAACTGATCCAATTAAAAACGTATTATCGTCACCTATAATATTATGTATTGTTTTATATTTTTATATATAGGTATTAGGTACCTCTATATGCGTACACAAAATAAAATATATAATGGTTGTACGAACGGACTAAGATATAGTAGTCCGTGGTTGCAGTGGCGTGCTCAGCTTTTTCCTATGGGGAGAGGGGGAAGAACAGATACAAACACTACATTTTTTTTTTTTGAGTAAACCGAAATTATCGAAGAACTATAAATTACGCATAAAAAAAAGTTCATGGGGGGGGGATATGACACTCCCCGTGCGTGGTTGTACCATTACTATTTTTTGTTTTGATTATCATATAGAAACTTACTACAGTTTTCGAGGTTGGTCACCAGTGTTCCTCGATGTTATAGATTTGAAGTTAATGATAAAGCGATGAGTTCGAAAAACGTGTTGTATATATTTCCGTCTACTACAGGGACTTAACCAATATACGGCTCCTATTCGTTTGCATCGCTCTCGTGGAGGCGCTTACTGTATGTCGTAGCGATATTATAGGTACCTATAATGAAAAATAAAAATTCTCGACTGGACCGCGATGACACTATACTTTAATAGCTAAATAGTAAATAGCTAATAAAATGTTATAATAAAGGTATTCATTATATGACCAATGGCATGCCTACCATCATTTTAATCCGTTCGATTTCCTACGCGGTCGAACCCCCTCGCGTGACGTTAAGATTGATGACACAATATGAAGGCATGATAATATAATAATATAATAATAATTAATAACAATAATTAGTATTATTGTAGTATTTATCATGTGCGTATATATATAGACAAAGGCAAAGTGGGGTAACTGGAACGAGCAAAAAAAAAAAAAAAAAAATCCAAAGAAAAAAGTCAAAGCGTTCGCGATATAAAAACGCCTTTCGTTAACCCTGTTAACGAGGGCGATCAATCGCGCATCGGCAGACTCGGCTCGCCGGTCGAGATGATTTTGACTAATGGCCGCGTCGTTGACACACGTCGAGCCCGCTTTCCACCCTCAGCCACTACTCCTTTCCGGAATTCCCTTGAAGGGTCGTAACCGCAGTTTCGCGTATTGCACAAGCACAACTCACACGCACACTCGCACTCACCTCACCCCAGCACACACGGGTATTCATTTTACGGGTAGAAGATCGAATTGGGGACGGTCGAGTATTATAATATATTATGTATAGTGTATATCTAATATCTATATAACGATAGCAGCTGCGGACGGGTTGAAACACCGGACTCCCGTTGTTTCTGCGGTGCATGATGTGTGAGACGATGAAGGTGGGGCGAATGAAGGGTTATACAATTTTATTCATATTCAAAACTGGCTAATCACAACCATTAAAATATATTTGAGTAATGTTGGAGTTGGAGATGACCAACAAAAGGACCAAAAATGCAGACCAATTTCATTATAGATATTATATAAGGTACTTATTCCGATCGGAATAAGGTTCAACCATATTATAACTCTTTTTACCGCGTTGCATGACAAATAACGTCCGTCTGAAATTTTAATTTATGGAGCGGCACGTTTCATCGTTAACGTGACTTTTTCCAAACGAATTGAACAAACGACTTCAAAATAGTCGTAATTCAAAAATGTTGTCGGTGGACACAACAACCGGCGCTACTAGTTTACTTTTAAGTTTAATGGTCCATCGACCCATGAGCTTATCATGATATTATCGAAAATCGAAGTTGTATTATTATTTCTCGTCGCGGCGGTAGGTTCGTACTAAAACTGTACTATACCATTGCTGCGTCGTATATAATTAATATAATATTATCATGTTTTTGTGAGATGATTAAAATAATAATAATGAATATTATCTTTCGACAGCCGTTGAATTGTTATCCAGGAACGCTGCAGCATCGCGTGGCTGGACCACCTTTGTCAGCGTGGTGCCACGTTATTTTAACCTTTTTTTTTTATTATAATATTATAAAATATAGCATGGACCTTGATGATTTTTTTCCATTTTGTTTTCGTAGCATCATTATGGTCCCACATATAGTATGTCATTGCTCGCGTCTATTGATCGCGCAACCTTTTCCATCGAAACAAACCAAACACGTCCTTAACATGACTTTGAATATAATATACGTTTTGTACCCAATTGAACCCTGTTCACACACACTACACACACACAGCCATGTGAAATAAAGTTCGTTGATTCTAAAAATAAGGTAGGTATGTCTCAAAACAATGAACCTAAGCAGTTCGTTGGAAATGTACACATTATATTGCTATAATGCAGACGTCATAGCTATAACATAATAACTAATAAGCGATATCCTTGAAGTCTACTAATATTTTTTTCAAATGCGAAGATGTTTCGATATACATAATTAAATTACTATATTTTATAAATGCATTATAGTTTATAAAGTAAGCAATATGACGATAATCACAAAAAGCTCATTTTCGATATCATTACATTATTTTTTATAATTTCTATATATGTACATAATATTAATCTGATACTATGAAGTGCTGTTGTGAATTACACTTGCCTAATATTTTAGGAGCCATGAATCATTAGTTATCATCTGAAGATATATATTATTATACCTATTGTATATCACGGTATGTTGATATTAGTTTGATTAAAAATTGAGACACTATTGAAACATTTGTGATAAATACTTTACATTTCTTTACGATAAATCTTACCAACTGGTAATAGTAGTATACTGCAGGTATATAGCTTATGGTTTTTTAAGGAAACACAAATTCCGATGCGATTGAAGTCTCTGTATGTCACATCTATCAGATTAGGTGCACCTAATGTAAGGACGTATTAGTGTATTACATGTAAACACCCATATTATACGCAATCCCGTCAGTTGTTGTCTTCCTTGTATGTCTAATACAAGTTTGAACGACAAACTTAAGAAATAAGTAAAATAAAATAATAACATGAAAATAACTGAGTGAAGAGGACCCCAGTCGAGGAATTCCATCGTCTTCACTTAATATATTTAAAATGTGTATCTATACCACCCCCTGTGTAATCAAAGTTACAAAACGTTGTCGCTATGTTAAGTTTCAATCGAATAAAAATATTAATAAGTAACGATAATGCAATATTGTAAAATTGTACCATAAAAATATTATCTAATGTATTATCAAGTAACATTTTTTAAAAATGTTAAAAATGTTATGTGGATGTAATGCTACAAATGAACATTCATGCAATGTTTAATCCGCAGCTGAGGCTTGCAATTTATTATAATATTACTATAAATTACACTGTAAAGTGGTTTTATCACTAATCATGTCGAAGCGTCGTAGATAATTCTATTCTTTGGTTTTCAACAATAATTGAATACCTAACGCTAATTATTTATTACGTTATATTATGTTGCACAGGTTATAATATTGGTTTTCTGCCGTCCACTGGAAAATAATTGAAAATAAATCAGAAATGGATTCCGAATCATTCAGAGTATGCGGGAAGACCGTTGTCGACTACATCGCAGACTACATGGACAACATCCGAGACAGGTATAAAAAAAAAAAACCTACTAGGTATGTACCTAACATGTGTATAATTACTAATTAGTGTAATTGGAATAAATTATATTAAATTGACCTAATAGGTATTATAATATACTTACATCTGTAGGTATTTGGTCAATTTATGTACATCAAAATTGTTTAAAAATATAACAATTTTCAGTAAAAAAGGTAGTTATCATATTTTGTAGTAAAAATATTTATTTCGCCATTGGAAACTCCTTAAATGGCATAAGAAAATGTAAGTATTTGAAAATATCATACAGTCTTTCGGTATAATACCTAAAATTATAGTTGAATATATTAAAAACCAGAATTTTTTGATTAATTCATTATTGAAGAACATGTGGTGGGGGGGGGCTGTGAACATAATATCTGGTGAACCACCATGAATAACGTACCTATTTACCTATGTATAAAATATTATTTTAAACCTTAATTTCTACTCGGAGATTATATATAATTTCAAAAGACTCGAAAATTGTAACGCATGGTATATACATTCCTACTACCTGGTATAATAATGACCGTGTTGCTCAAAATGTTTTTTTATTTAAATTTAAAAAATACACCCTTTTCAGGCCCGTTCTGTCCAGCGTCAAACCAGGATATCTATACGAATTGGTGCCGCCCGAGGCTCCGGTCAAAGGTGAAGATTGGAAGACGGTGTTGGCCGACGTGGAGAACATAATCATGCCCGGCATTACACACTGGAATTCGCCGCAGTTTCATGCGTTTTTCCCGACCGGAAACTCTTATCCAGCCATCATCGGTGACATGCTGTGCAACGGGATCGGATCTATAGGATTTTCTTGGGTACGGATAAATATACATAATATTAAAAACGCGTTGCTTCGAAGGCGGACGAGAAGGTGTCTCGACGGTATTTGAAGAAAATTTTACTTTAAGAAACTATAATACGGATGCAACGCACGATTCTGGCAATTTTAGGAATCGTATACCTACATTTTAGTGACAATTTATAGGTACGAAATATATACACGATTCCTAAATTAAATTTTTTTATTTTCACGGATTTGTATGGTCTTAAATGCAACGTTGCCATACCAAAAACATGTATTGACAAATATATTATTGAAACGTACATATATCACTTTGTGCAATAGACAAAGGGAAGTGAGTATCTGCCTTTTTCAATACAAGAATTTTGGAAAAACATGATTTAAGCTACAAACATCAAACATCATTTGTTATTGGACTTATGTTTTTTGGTATTTGATATCCTGATTCCTGACCTTAAGGTTTATTTCATTGAGATTTGGGATATATTTTGGATTTATATCAGATTTTCAAATCTTATACTAAATCATTTTTTTTTTCGTATGCAGCATTATCAACTATCAAAAGTTCATTAATTAAATTTTATATTCTACGTTTAATTTTCCCAAAAAATAAAACATACAATTTAAATTATATTACAGTTAATTTATTATTTCAGAAGGATAATAAGTAATAATAAAATACGCTTGCCAAGTCAGGGATCGGTATGTATACTTTCTTGTTTTTTAATTTTTAGAAATTTATTAACTGATATCACACCCAGGTGGTATAAACATTTGGATCCAGAAAAATGTCGATGTGAACAGCCCCACAAAAAATCATTTTCATTTTCATTTAGTGAGATAGATCTCCGAAACCAGAGAGTATATTTCGTTGTTTGGGATCTTGTTAGATTAACATTGGTTAGGAAAAGTGCAGTGAAGATTTTCAGAACTTCATCTTTAATAGTTAATTCACTACAGAACACCAAAAAAATAAAAACAAATATTATTGGGCGTTTTCGATGTTTTTCAGCTTTACAGCTTTGTAGTGAACTAACGATTGGAGATAAAGTATTGTAAACCTACGCTGCACTTCTCCTAGCTAATGTGAATCTAACAAGACCCCAAACAACAAAATCTGTTCTCCAGTTTCGGAAATCTACCTCGCGAAATGTAAATCTAGCTAAAAATAACTCTTTTTTTATCTGTGAAAAATGAAATAATTTTTAAAAAGAAATTTAATTCCACATTTTGTACCTATCTAATTGATAATCCTTTTTTAATGAGTTATCAACCAACTTTCTAGCTATCATAGTTTAGGAGAAAAGTTAAAAATAGAAATTTTAGGACTGTTCACGCCGACGTTTTTATGGATTCAACCGTTTATACCGCTTGGGTGTGTTATCAAATCTTTCTAATTAATATTTTATATTAAAGCTAGCTAAACTACCCATCTACTCATCATTACTGAGTTACATTTTTATTATTTTCCTATTTAACACAAATTCTTGAAGTTTTCAAAATTCAGACTTTTTTCATTTCAATTACCATACTTAGGTACTTGATTAAAAATCAAGAAAGTAATACACTAATGCATATTATAGTTACTTGACAGTGGTATTATTGATTTTTATTTACTTTTAAATTATAATGTAATACATAATTTTCATGAATTATTGTTTACAATAACGACAGCCAAACATAGGCGCAATTTCAACTTTTGACTTGGGGGGGGGAGCTGAATATATTTAAGGCAAGCAGACAATTATAGCATTTTAAAATTGTATGTCATAGGTTTTTTTTGGGGGGGGGGGGGGGCAACGGCCTAGTTTGGGGAGCTTAGCCCCCTCCCCCAATTTGACCCTAGAAGCCAAAACCAATGTAATGGTAACGTTGCATAAAAAGTCCAGTGGAATCGTAGGTATATAATATTATATAGGTACATGCAATTTACGGAATAGTTATTATTATTTTAATCTCTACCGTATTGCTCTAATATTAACCTACTACAAGATTGTAGGACATTTGATTTTTTTTTATTATATTTTAATTGGAATTTTTTTTAAAGGATTTATTGGTACATATGTATTATAAAATATTCGTCTAGACAGTTAATATCGTCATATAGTTATCATAAATGCTTTAACCTACGTATACCGGCTATATAATGTATCAAGGTTTTACAGTCCGAAATAATCATCGTATACTCATAAGTCATTATAAGTCATATAGTAATAATATAATAGGTACATTGGTAATTAAAATTATATATTTATACAATTATACAGAGTCCCATGATAATTTAATAATTTAATATTTAATTATTAGCCAGTTTAATTAGCAAGTGTACGTGGAACACTGCAGTATCATGATTGTATGCATATTTTTTTTTCATTTAAAATGTTTCTATTTTACACTATTTGATCGTAAAAATTGTTTGATACCAAAACAGAGACAAAACGTATACGTTCTTTACGATAAATTATTTACCAGGAATGTTTTCGTGAATTTTAATGTATTATTAATAATAGAATAGCTTAAAAAATAGTGATCGCTGTTTCAGCCTTTATTTTTCCGTTAAAAATGCCAAAAGCTCAGGTAGACTAAATTGTTTAAAGTCACAGAAAAAAAAAAATCAAAAGAAGTCTCAAACATTTGTCTCAGAGCTCCTTAGGCTACACTATAAATCATTATATAATTCCATTAAACTTCAGCAGGTGCAAAACTATTGGCTATAATGAATTTGGGATACCATTATTATTATTTAAGTTGTAACGTTATTTTATTATTTGTTCAGTTATGTTAACTTTTATGAAAAAAAAAAAATTCTACAAATCAATGAAATAGTATTGTGTTTCAATAGGTATAAAGTTCAGCATTTGCAGGTGAAAAAGACTGGATACATAATACCAAGGGGTGTAAGTGCACCATCGTGCACCACCGTAATTACGCTTCTGATACAAATTATTACTTTTTGCCAACATATCACTCCTATATTATTATAATATATATATATATGTATATGTTTCTCTGTAGTATTTATATAATTTTAATGTGTAGATCATTTATCTGTGGCAAACGTGCTTTGGATATAATTATAAAAGTTATAACAGTGGGTATACTACACATAGGTATTTAAACAATAATGAACTATTGTATAACACACTATAGTATTTATCTTTATAACATATTATTATTATTTTGTTTTTTGTTTAACCATAATATTTTTTGTGTAATATAATCAAAACTCATTGATTGAGTATAAAGTCAAGAGAAACCGATGAAGTAATTACTTTCTTGTGTCACTATTAAGTGACTACATTTTTAATATATTTTTATCGTTTCTATATTAATTCGGTAGGTTGTCAAGTTAGTGTACATAAATTACATTTTGTTATAAGTCTTCAAAAAGATAATAAACAATGACTATTTGGAAAAAACGTAAACGGGTATGACGTTACAAAAATTACTTTTTGTTTTGCGATATTAACCAAAGTTTGAATTGCAGTTGAAATTATAAAACGGGCGTAATTAATTTGAAAGTTTCCTAAAGTTAGAACGTCACTTTTGAACTCTCTGACAGAGCTCAAAGCTATGTTATAGTGCTGTATCTCTGCTCCAGTATATAGTATTTGTTTCCGATCTCTGAATCCTACGATACAAAATGAAAATAAACTCATCTAAAAATGAGCGATTATTCCACAGATAGCGAGTCCAGCGTGTACCGAACTCGAAGTGCAAGTTATGAATTGGTTTGGGAAAATCTTGGACTTGCCGAAAGAGTTCTTGAACGAGTCCGAAGGGCCCGGTGGTGGCGTACTTCAGGTATTTATAAAAACAAATAATTACCTATACCTCTGACAGTCTGTCGTATCTGTTTTGAGCCAACGAAAATAATGTGATCTCGGCCACACAATAATATTAATAAAAATAATAATATATTCTTCTGATTCACGCAGGGCAGCGCCAGCGAAGCCACGTTCGTGTGCCTGTTGGCAGCCAAAGACCGCACGACGAAGAGGATCAAAGCACTCGACCCGAGCATGACCGACGGTGAGATCAAGGCGAAACTGATAGCTTACACTTCCGGTAAGTTTTTACGGGAAACACCACCTGTTGTAAAAGTCGATCGATAATATTAAAATACTCGAGTAGGACGATTGACGGAGTTTGTAGCGATTCCGAAGGCTGCTATTAATTGTTCGTCTCGATATTGATATTGAAAACGATGCCCATATTTTTGGATTACATTTAGACGTTTCATCAATGACGTTTAGCACTTAATTTTTTTGCTCCTCGTCATACATTTTTAATAAAAGTGTTTACTTAACAAAATAAAAGGCCATACAAAGCAAACATTTTTTTTGGGGGGTGGGGGTTGGTTAGTATTAATATGTTTATTGATAAAAATAAAATTATTTACAATAGCATTTAAAATATCTTTTTAAAAAATAATTTCAGGGGTAGGGGTCTTAACCATATACCTACCCCTGGTTACGGCCTTAGTTATATTATATGAGCTGCTGAATCAAAATATATTTTTTTAAATTTTGGCGGAGTCGATACACGGCCGATCGGCGATCGATTAGGTACAATTATTTGTTTTTTTTATACAACCCATCGTGTCTATATAAATATAGATCAGTCCAATTCGAGTGTGGAAAAAGCCGGTCTCCTGGGATCGATGCCGATGCGGATGCTCAAGGCGGACGAGAGTGGTAGGATGACCGGACCCATACTGGCCGAAGCTATGGCCGAAGACATCGCCCGAGGGTTGATACCATGTTACGTGGTCGCCACGTTGGGCACCACTGCCACTTGCGCTTTCGACTGTCTGGAGGAGCTTGGCCCCATCTGCAACGAAAACGATATTTGGCTGCACGTCGACGCTGCTTACGCAGGTACATGAGCTGTTATCGCTGGATACCTTATCTAGTGTTGTACTTTAATACTTTATAATGTAATATGTGTTTTACGCAAAAGCCAAAAGGTATAGATACGAGTAGCCGAGTAGGTAATATTAAAAATGCATACAAAAGAAAATGTGTTCTATAGTATATGTTTCATTTAGTAGGCACGTACAAAATACGAAAATTCGAAAACACAATTTAATATGATATAAAATGATTAGAATGAGCTTTAAAATGTCTATAATTTATAATTCATCAATTTTTAGATGAGTAAAACTATTAAAATAGATTTTTTCATCATATAAAATATGATTTTTTGTAGTCTGCAATATTACTTTGTCGTCTTACATTTTAGATTCTGAGTGAAACGATGAATGTATTGATTTTACAATGATGTGTGTTTTTTTATTTTTTTTTTTATTTTTTATTTTTTTTTGTGTCTGTCATCACGTTTTAGGACAGTAAAAGTGCTTGGATTTTCTTCATCAGTAGCTTTTCTGATAGGAAAGTGAATCTAGTTGGTACTTTGGGGGGGTCAAAAGTATAAATTTCCCAGTAGTTTTCACAAGCGCCGGGAAAAACAACATAAAAATTAAGGAAAAACGGGAATTTTTACGCAAAATTGGTTTTCCAAAAAATCGATTTTGGTTTTTGGTGTAACTCTGAAACAAATGAACGTATATACATGAAATTTTCACTGGTTGTTTATATTTGCATTTTCTATACACGATAACATTTTCAAAATATTTTGATTTATTTTGAACTGTTTAGGGACATTTTCATTTTCCATTTTTTTTTCTAAAAATATCAATAAAATTTTATTTGTTGGTTGCAAAAGCTTGAAAATTTAATAGAAGGCTCCTAATATATTGTTTCAAAGGCAGATGAAAAATATTAAAAATCCTTAGTCACAATTTTTTTTTATAAGCATTTAAAGTTCAAAAATTGACAAAATATGGGAAAATCACGAAAATTAGCAAATTATTTTGAGTTAAGAATTCGTAAAAATTTTTCTTTTTAAATCTAAGATTTGAAAATTAAACACAAGATTCCTTATAAGTTTGTCTACCTTTATCAAAAGAAAAATGTTTATAAGAAAGTCAAATTAAATTTTTATGAGCGTTTGAAATTCAAATTTTTACAACATTGAATATTCACTCGATTTCCCATGTAGCGATTTCCTTATTTTGTTGTAATTAAAAAACGAATTACTGTAGATACATGAAAATTTCACTGAATGTTTATATTAGCATTTCCTATACACCCTACAATATTGAAAATATTTTGACACTTTTTGAGCCGTTTACGGACATTTTCAGTTTTCAATTTTTTTAGTTTTTTTTTTCTATAAATATCAATTAAGTTTTATCTGTTGGGCCAAAAAGTGTAAAAATTTAATACAAGGCTCCTGATATATTGTTACAATATCAGTTGAAAAATATTAAAAATACATAGGCACAATTTTTTTTTATAAGCATTTAAAGATCAAATTTTGACAAAATTTATCAAAATCTCGAAAATTATCAATCATTGTAATTAATAAATTATAAAATGTTCAGTTTTTATAGCTAAGGATTGCAAATTCAACACAAAGGTTCTCGTAAATAGTTCATACTGTAACCAAAAAATCTAAAAAATATATGAACACAGTTATTTTTTACAGACATTTTAAATTCAAATTTGGACGAAATTACATATTAAAAAACCTAGAATAACTATTTTAGTTATTTTGTTGTGATTGAATAATATTATTCGTGGATACTTGAAACTTCTAAAGTGTACTATTATATATCTATGATAGTATCACGGTTTTTGTTGATGTATAACGCGTTATAAGTACCTAATGGATATTTTGATATGATTAATTTGGAATTTATTATAGGTACCCATTATAGGTCAATTTTTTGTTTAATACCATAGATATGTATATAATATGTCTTATACATAGACTGACATACCGTCTGCGCTCAGAATCGTTTTTCTTATACAATGATATTATATCGTTGAATTCAAATTTAATATCATCCATTATACAGTGACCCACTTGTAACCTACTGTACAGCAGAGCGACACCCACTTGCCCACCTTTTTAATTTTAACCTACGAATTTATTTAGAATAAAAAATAAATTATTTATCAATCAATCAATCAATCAATAAAATCGATGCATTCTGGATTAACCGTATTTTCGTACTACCAATGTACGGGATCGCGAGACTTCATTGTAATATTATATTATATGTTATATTATATTATGTAAATGCAATTTCAATATTATATCGTTATCCGCATTAACATCTTTATTGTTACCTTACTCATCGTGCTTTTATATATACGATATACCTAGAATGCCAGATCAGCAGACGCAGTGGCGTATTTAAGGTGATTTATCGGGGAGGTGGCCAACATTAAATAAATAAATTAAATAAATAAATTTTATTGAATTATTAACTTTACTAATATTTTATTTATATTGAGTTCAGAAATGTGATATAAATTATATTGAATCGATATGGCATATCGATATTTTTTCCTATTATTTTATTTTATTGTCCTATAATGGAGTTCGTACGCAATGTGTTAATTATTATTTAATTTATTTGAATAAATAAGTATTTAGTATTTACGTTATTCAGTAATCACCTGGTACAGTGGTGGACGGTGGTACGTACAGGACGACGGTACTACGGTAGACGAAAAAATTAGTGGCAAATTTACAAATAAATTCAATGGTATTATTAAGAAGATGTCACATCCTTATGTGTTGTCTCCATCTTACAAATGTACAGCAAAGCAAAAACTGCTTTGCTCGGGAAAATTAAAAAAACAAAATGTTTAGAAGTAAATAACTTTTATTGTATTTATGTTATCTAAAATATGGGCAAGCTGATGCATAGATAATTTGCTATCCTATATGTTCACACATTTTGGAGCCACTATTACAAACACAGAAAGATAAAAGTTGTCCCACGCAAAACAGTTTTTGCTATGTTGTTCATTTGTAAGACGGAGCAACACATGCGGGTGTGACATCCTCTTAATAATGAAAGTATTATAGTTCTTTAAACTTATAAACTGTAAACTAGATTAAAATATACTACAAACGTTCTCAATATTTTCGTTGTTATTGTATTTTCGCTGCGGCCTGCGGGTATTCTTACAATCGTAATGACCCGGTGAAATTCAAATAATTTCTGGATATCCCTGATAAATTGGAGATAAGTCTCTGTTTCGTCAAATCTAATCAAATTAATTTCAGTTTTGCCGTTTATATAAAAATACCATTTATTTTATAAGAAAATAAAAATAGTATACTGATATACTATAAAATAAATGATAATACCAATGTCCAATATATAAGGACTTTTTTTTCACCAGCACCACGTTTTAATAGCTTTTATTTTCCATCTGTCCGCTTTCATTACTGTCCACGATTCTACTCAATATAATACACATGCACTCTATACAAGTGTTTTTCTAACGTTTGTATTAATAATTGCAATTGTGTGGTTAGTTGTTTTTTATTACCTGGTAATTTTTTTTTAAGAAAAACTTGCTCATTTTACCTTGTGCTATTCTACAACTATAATGATTAACATTTGGGGCACTTTCCCTGTCCCTTATGACGTAAATTCCAAAGTATGTATAGCTTTTTGAATTTTCTAATTTTATATTGTCCATGATTATATCGCTGACTACTTGCTGTCTGAAAAAATAAACTAATCGTAAATAAAAAAAAATAATATTATCCATCTACATTACGATGCTTATTGTTTATGCAACATAACTGAAACTAGCCATATGTGCAGCTTAATACACTCTTTAAAACTTTTGTGGGTGATAATATTATTGTATCGATGGAATGTTAAGTATTATTTCATATCGTTGGGAAAACTAAATTTTTTTTCAACTGTTTTATTATTGTATTTTTATTAATCACTATAATTTCTGGTCCTATATCATCGTCAATAGGTGCTGCTTTCGTTTTGCCGGAATACAGACATCTGATGGCGGGAGTGCAATTCGCTGACTCGTTCGACGTCAACTTGCACAAGTGGCTCTTGGTGAACTTTGACTGTTCGGCCTTGTGGGTGAAGAACGCCACTTATTTGGTGGATGCGTTCAACGTGGACCGGGTGTACTTGAAGCACAGATACCAGAGCCAGGACCCCCAAGTACCAGATTACAGAGTAAGGACTATAATGTTGCATATTAATGGAAAAAATTAATTATATATTTTATATCGTGTACATTAAAACATTACTATGTATTGATAAGTAATGCAAATATAATATTATGTGTTGCGGTTAGAATTGTAAATAAATAATTATTACTATTGATAAATCATATCGCGAAAAAGATCTTATTCGAGATGTAAATTAAAATAAATAGGTACCTATTATAATATTATGTTCTATGATCGCGATGGTCAATGGATATCTTATGACCATTTTTTTATAACTCTACATTGTATACCTACTACAAGAGCATACCTATATTCTATAATAATAATATTATGTAGGTATATTGTATTATACAATGTTATTATTATAATATTTGATAATTCAGCTGTATGTAACATATCTTCAATAAAAACTAACAAAGACTTATTGATCATTTGTTTGAACCATTGTAACAATTACTTTTTCACTTAAAATGTTATCACTAGATAACAGCATATATTTTTAATTAACTTTATTGTGGTTTTTTTTTGAAAATTAAATCATGTTTATATTAGGCATCGTATTGCATTCTTGTGTATTCAGCATTATAAAATTAAATCTTTATAAAAAAACGGGAGAATATTTTTTTATAATTTTTTCCTTTTATTTTTGAAAACCTACAATTTTCTAACATATAGGTATTTTTTTTAATAAAAATAGTGTATAGGGAGAAATAATAAATCGTAATTTATCTTTATTTTCGTTATTCTCTTGGTTGTTTGTTTTAATTTTATTATTTATATAATATACTCTGTCAAATTAAAGTCATATATCACCGAGAATGTTTTGATGTTACAGCATTGGCAAATACCGTTGGGCCGGAGATTCAGATCGATGAAAATGTGGTTCGTGTTGAGGCTGTACGGCGTGGAGGGTCTACAGGCACATATCAAAAAGCAGATTCACTTGGCGGACTTGTTCGGGAAGCTCGTCAACCAAGATCCGAGGTTTGAAGTCACCACGGTCACCATGGGACTGGTTTGCTTCCGATTGAAGGTACATATAAATACTGTTAACATGACACATTATATAAATATCCATTGAATAAATTCATTTTTGTTTATAAGATGGATGCGTTTCTCAACCTTTATTTCTCAATCGCTACACGCTAGTATCTACGGTTATTAATTTTCAAATCCAATCAATATAACATATACCTATTATTAGATGAGTTAAATAAATCGCGTAAATATTCTGGATTTCGGTCATTTATTTCTAGTGTTTTACAATTAAGTTTTTTACAATTTTCACCCAGAAACCACCTTCTGAAAAGTCGATGCTTAAAGCTTTGTACTGCTCCAAAAAGTGACAACACAAGCAACAAAAAAATAAAATCGTTGTAAAACGTCATTCGCCGTTCCACTCGGAATCCAAAATGTCACTGCAGTTACAACGAGCCTTTGCATCGAATACCTACGTAGGTCATTAACCTAGTTTTTGTTATTATAGGGCAACAACGACTGGACGAAAAACCTTTACGAGCGACTGATGGCCAGCGGACAAATATATCTGGTAACCGCCACCGTCCGGTCGAAGTTGGTCATACGGTTCGTGGTCTGCAGCCGACTGACGGAGGAGGTCGACGTGCAGTTCGCGTGGGACGAGATACGCGGACAGGCCGACCGCGTGGACAGCGAACGCGATGTGGCACCCGCGAGCATTTGCAACGGCCTTTCAGGAGCATGGCCGAAGGACAAGGTGGACTGCGAAGAACTCACCGCTGCCACCCCCATCGTCGTCAAGTCCCTGACCCAAGGATGAGCTACCTATATGATATAATATATATATAGAGAGAGTTTTCGTCTTCATAATCTATAATATACCCTCATTAGGTGTCGTTATTATATTAAGGATTAGGACGCACGAGTGCTTTTGAAATGTATACATTATTATTAGTATTAATATTATTATTATTATTATTACTATTAATGTTATTTGTTATTAAAATTAATCCGTGTGTGCAATCATATAGTGCTCAAAAAAGAAACCTAGAATCCATCACTCTCCGACCAAAAGTGTGATAAATTTAGAATACATTTTCGATACCTACCTAATTTACTTGTATTATTCCGTGTGCCTATTGTGCAAGCTGGTAATAATAATATATAGTTTATAATATTATCCCCGAAATCATTAACTTCATTTCGATTCAGTCTTCGTATTAATTACTATATTTAATTAAAAATAATAATATTTAGGTAATTATTTTGTTCTGAATTTATTTGCTTATTTCGTATTCGATGGGTGTAGGAAGTGTTACTCAAAAGTTAAAATTTATAATATCGATAAAAATATCAAAAGTATTTAAGAAGTGTACATATACGTGTATACACGATACAATGATACACTACTAATGTCCCAAAAAACTCATATAATGCTTTACGATTTCCGAGCCTTTGATAGAATTGTATAGGTACTTATACTATTATTATAATATTATACTTATACTATTATTATAATATTATTATACCCCACTACGCGGATGATACGACGATTTACTTATTCGATCGTTTTCAAGCGTCACGGTCTGGTTTTTTGTTTTCTTACCTACCAATAATTTCCTTTTAAATTTTTAAATCTTTATTGTTATAATTTAATATAATGTCCTATATGTCCATAGTCCATTAAAACACGTTAATTTTTTATAGGATTATACATAGTATTCTCATCATACACATTAATATTATATAGTTGGTAATGTTTACTTCTTAATGTTTGTAGAAATAGAGTTATATTACAAATGTTATATTCTTGTTTTATCATAATAAGTATTATAGTTTATTGAAGTGGTTTAGGTTGTTTATGCGTAGATATAGATACCTCCATCTTCGTTTTAATTTCTTCCAATATTAATATTAATACATACAATATGATATACATTACAAAACATTAATAATAAGTGATTTAATATATTATATCGGTAAATCGAAATCATGTAATATTTAAAAAAATATAAATACACATTTATGCACATTAATATATTATCATTGTATTATTTTAGTTAAGTGTAAGTAATGAAAATCGTAAAGTTTTGATTCTCTAAGAATTTATAACGTATACTCCGTGCTTCGACTATTCTATGATATAATGGCGTACTTACGGTGGTGGATTAAGGGGGGGAGGGCAACGTGGCGTCACCCTCCCCTTGGGCTTTTTTTAACGATATAATTTCGGTCAAGTCTTCATTGTACTTTATATATCACACATGGATATTCCTATTCGCCCACCCCCTTAAAGTCCACCCCAACGTACCTAGTACTGACTGTGGTTCTAGATCTAACATATTATTATGTGCACAAAATATATTTATGTAATAGATATGAATACTTTCTAAACGATATTACTAAGTACCTATAAAGTAATATAGTAATATAGTAATATACTAATATATATTAATCAAATCCTATTACAAATCCTAGGAATCCAATTAGTTTGTATTTGTTTACTTTTGTCTAGACTTTCGTATCTTATCTATTAGTGTGGCATCCAATAATTTTTAAATTATAAGTATAGTGTCCTGACTTTTGAATTACAACAAGAAGAAGACGATTAATATTGTTTAGGTACCTACAAAAACTCAATTGTGGCAAAAATAGATTTGCATTAGTTATACGTATACCTATTACGAATCCTGGATAAAACACCAGATTAAAAAAAAAAAATATTTTTAAATATAATCTCATATTTTAATTGTCGGGTAAAAAGTCCATGAGCAACTTAATTACAGGAAAAAATCCGTTTTATCTGCTGCTATTTATTTTTAGCTTCTAGCACCCATGTGGACGGTTAGACAATATATTGTCATTCAACAGTTATTATTATTTGTATTCACTACTTTGACAGTGATGATAAGAATTTTAATTTTTAACTCAGATAATATATATTATATTGATATATTATATTGGTAGTTCATTCAATGCATCACTATCTGTAAAAAATAAAGATTAGAAAATCGTGGAAAATCATAACCCAGCTTTCGGTACAGTATACAGAGTATAGAACAATACAGTGTCGAGTTTATTACTTAAAAAAAAAAAACACAAATTATTTAAGTGATTTTGAAACAACAATAATATGTGATTCATGAGGGTGTGCGAAATTATGTGTATATAGGGTGTCGGCAGCGTGTGAGGAGTATACGTAATGTCGTAGAAATGTCTAAAAATGTTTCAATGAAATGTATGGATAATTGATAGTAATGTTTTATTTTTCGGAATGCTATTTTAAAGTAATATACTAATATCACTTTTTTTTTTAATTGCCGAGTGGATGAATATTAATAGTGAACTTTTGTTTTAAGCCAAAAAACGCCAACACATTAAAATTTTTTGTTTTCAAATAAAAAAAATATATAACAATGGCTTTAATATTATGTGTGTGAGGTTGTGCAGAATATGAATATATTTTTTAAATATGAACATCAAAATACTATTTTTAAATACACAATATTTATATCGACGAGAACGAAAGTTTTCATTTACTGTGACGAAACTTCATTTATTTACTATGCGTATATTTATATACAATATAGATATATGTAAATTTATTGTTCTATGGATCGATTTTACTATTGTTTTGTTAGGATAGGACGCCATTCCTCATAACTGTTATCTTAGTCTTTCAGGCATAAAACGCAGTGGAATTATACTCCGCGATACCAAAACAAAAGGCTTTAGACTGATGTTACAGCGTATTGATCTGCTGTATATACAATTGAAAGGGAGAAACACTTTATGTGTTGATTTTGCGGAATTCCATTTTTCGTTTTAAAACGAATATAAAAATTAATCAAACTTTAAAATAATATAAAACATAAAAAAAAAATCCAAGTCTTTATGTCTTTAAATAAAATGTAAGTAATAATAAAAATCGTAAATCTTCAAGAATGCAATATTTTAGAATAATAAATTTAACTGGGGGCCTTACCAATAAAAGACCCAGGCTCTAATAAAAATGAACAATACTATTATAATAATATTATCAGTGGTGGGTTTTACTGGTTCGAGGTAAATAAATAATTTTTCACCTATAATTTATTAAGTAATAACTTTTTAACTTTTAGATCGTTAAAAGTTCAAAATTTTAAATAATCTTCAACCTATTTTATTTTTTATTAGAAATATTATATTATTATAAAATATAATTTTAATTATACAGATGATAATACATCGACAGTGGTGCACTGGTGCGATACCAAAATGTATGTATACCATATATGTTTGAGTCCTTAACTATTCACTTATTTTAAATATACGTTAAATTTACAACATATTTAAGACAATTTAAATATTTTAAATAAAAGGGTTTAAGTGTGTAATAATTATAAGGTTATATGCAACAGTTGATGAGTGTAAATAAATTGTACAGCCACCACCGAACATAATGTTATTAATTATTATGCACTAGGACAAAAAATAAATTTAAAGATTATAATATTATGTGTCTTAAATGTTGTGCACTTTAAACAAATATAAAGATTACTATATGTAAAAAATAATCGTAAACCGAATGAGTCAAAAATGAATACTCTGGAATAACAAAATTTGTCGTTATATTAGATTCTCATGTCGTTCAAATTTAAAAAAAAATATTGAGGGTCAGTACTACAATCGTATAGACTCAGAAAAAAACAGCGTACCTCTAAACACGGTCGCCATACTATTTACTAATGATCGTTTATTTACTATCATCGTAGCATTTGGCCTGTCGCCCAATATCGAACTCTAAATACAATAAAAAATAAACCCCTATAGCCTATGACCAACTAAACCCCTAGAGCAATTTTACAAATGCTACAGACGCGTTCCAAATGACCTGACATTAACACGACTGAAAATAAATCGTATAGATTCGCCTGATATGTAATATCCAATACTACCGCACAATAATAATGTTATAATAATAAAATAATATTTTAATATAATAAAACCCATATTATTATAATATTATGATACAATTTTCAAGAGTTTTTAGTATTTGTCGTTTGATATTAATTTTATGTTATGTACGTCATGAAAACAATTAATGTTCAAATATATTTCTTTTACCTACCTAAATCTAATTTATTTAAAAGCTGTTATTAAAAAAGAAAATTGTTTAGCTCTATACATTTATAATATAAAAATAAAAACCACCCTAATTAGTAGGGCCGAGGACATATTATAGTGTAGGTACTTAAAAACTTCAAAATATGTAGGTATGCATTTTTCCATTTAAAGAACAAAAAAAGTGAACATAAAATATTCTTTAAAAATTAAAAAATGTAATATATAAAATATGGTAAATACTTAAATTATAATATTTATATGTTATGCTGCAGTTTTTCAAAATCTGATTTTTGGAATTTTTAATTATAGTTACTTAAAGACAATATTTTAAATTTATTGAGGTATTAGTACTAACTACTATTAAGGAGTTTTTGTCAAGATAAAAAGATACAAACTTCTGTTTTTCAAAATATGAGGACACCCCTACCCATATTTTACTATAGGTAAATATTTTATTATAGGTAATTTTCTTAAAATGTCGATGTATCAGAATCAAAATTCATACTAGTAGTTTTTGAGTTAATTAACTTTGTGTTTTTAATTAATGGATTTGGAAGTTATGGGGGCTACCGGCCATTGAGTGGTGGTTTGGAAAAATTGACTGATAAATATTAATCTATCAAAATTAATAAATTAGAATTTTCAAAAATGGACCAATAGTTTAATAAATATTAATATCCAATATTACATTTATTTTATAATTTAGTAATACAT